ATGGTGGACGTACACGTCTGCTGCGTGTATAGCAGACCATGACGGGTCAACGATACGTAGATGAGGTGCTACGGTCCGTTGTGCTTCCCTACGTTCGGCGGCTCCCAGGTCTGCTATACATGCACGACAACGTACGACAGCACATCGGGCGTGTTGTACAGACCTTTGTGGAAGAGCACCGTATACGAATGCTTCCATGGCTAGCTCGGTTTCCGCATCTGAATCCGATCAAACATGTTTGGGAAATGACTGGTCGGAGACTTCTACGTTATCCGGCTTCCTCGGCTAACGTTGAGGAGCTATGCTACAATACAGCGACTTATTAACTCCATGCCTCGTCGTTACCGATGGTACGCGAAGCTCACGGGGGATACTCTCGCTATTGATGTTTCTCCTCCCAGCAGAGTTGTGCCGCTCTCCTTGTGAGAGTAAGTTACACTACTTTAGTACTACTTCCATACCAAATTTTATTGCGCTAGACACACGCGTTCAGATTATACAGGGTGTGCTCGTGAATTATTTCCAACAGTGTATTAGTACTATTGATATAGGTCTATATTTACTTTTATCACTTGGGTCTCCTGGTTTTTGAATGGGAATGACTCTAACATATTTTAATTAATTTGGAAAAGTTAATACATAATACTTTTCTTATTATTAGTTCTATGTTCTGAATTCCTTTCGTTGTCATCCCATAAACATCTTTAGTATTTGTCTTATTCAAATTTTTGATTATCTTTTCCACTTCTTCTTCTCCAATTTCGTCTAATTGCATTCCTTCTTCTTCTTTAATTTGCTCAAGCCCAATAGGATCTTTTGTTTGTATATTAACAGTTTGAGATTTACCACTGTATACAAAAAAATGATTTATGTCATTTACGTTCAGAAGAGAATTATTTTCTTTCTTGCGCCTTGTTTTTCTAGTTTCTTGCTTCATTATATTCCAGGCAGCAGTTATTTTATTTTAGTAGTGCGTACGAGAGTCTCGTTTTCGAGAGTCTTGCATGGTCTCGTCTCGTTTTCGAGACGAGACTCGAGACGCAACTCGGACAAAACAAGACGAGACTTTCATTGGTCTTGTCTCAAGCCTCGTGCATGAGGTCTTGCGTCTCATACGAGAGTCTCGCAGGTAAACATTTGTGCAAATAATATCTGCAATATTTCTGTAAATATTTTCGTATCTACACGCTTGAATTCCAGTAATGATATGTTAAAAGTACCTCTTGAAGGTAGACATGGATTTGGTGCATTGTGTCAAAATGTTGTTGATTTAAAACCATATGCTCTTGAGGACAAAGAATGGATACTGCTAGAAGAAGTGCATAAATTACTAGTCAACTTTCAAATACTTTCCAAGAAACTCGGAGTAGAGAAGTACGTCAAATTACCTATGGTGGTTGTATGTATCAATATACTAATAGATAATATTGAGAGCAAAATATTTTCATGGGACCGAAAGGCAGATCAAAACGCTGTCGAAGAGCAGCTTATTGTTAGTTTTCAGGCTGCGAGAGACAAAATATTAAAGCATTATCGTAAAACTAATTAGATTTATGCTGCAGTTTCGATTCAGAAATTTGAAAATGTATACAAAGCCTATTTCCACCAATCAGAAGACCAACGTTCGAAAGTAATGGCATTCTAGAGCGGAAAAGTCGGATTTTGTAATTGATTTTGATGTTTTGTATGCAGTAAATCTTACGCCTTCCGAAGCAGAATGGATGCAGGAGCTTCAAAAATATTATTCTACGCCCTGGTGTAATAAAGACACATATATTACAATGGTGGAAAATTCATGCTTCTGAAGATTATTCTCACGTGCTGAATTAACTATAAGAAAACATCGAAATCGCCTTAATAATAAATCTGCACGATATTTATTATACCTAAACGATTGGGTGAAAAACAAAATCATTTGCGACCGACAGGGCTGAGGGCTGTAATTCTCCCTTCCGACTCTTACATTATAGCAAGTATTTAAGTATTCCTTATTGCACTGAAACAATAAGATTATGCATCACGAGATTTCGATACTTTTATGAGACTCTCGTACGAGAAACGCGACGAGACAAGACTTCATGAAAATCTCGTCTCGTTGGTCTCGTGCTAACCACTATTTTATTTTGTGAATTCGTCATAAATTGTTTATAAGCTTCCTTTTTTGTATTATCTAATAGTCTTTTAAACTCACGTTTTTTTATTTGATACAATTCTTTGTATTTCTTGTCGTTCGTTACTTCAGCTATCGTGTAGATAGCATCTAAAGTATTTTTCATCTTGCTTAGGTCATCTCAATTCATTTTAGTGTTGATAGTACATGTTTTCTTTTTTATTATTATTTCTCGAAAAGCACACTGATAACACGATGTAATTATTCGGTGAAACTTTGTATAACTGATGAAGAGAGAAAAACGCAAACATCACAGGAAGATTAATGAGATGAATAGTTTACTTTATAAAACCTAACAAGACCTATCAATTAAATATCACTCACTGGAAATAGATGAGATTATGTCCGAGGAGAAGTTGATCAACTATAATGATATCAAGAACGACCAAGCAAAATTCATTTTTAACACAGAAGAAATGAAACTTTTATCTAAAGGTAACAAGTTTGCTCTACTAGAAACTAATCTCAGTTTAAGCCAATATCAAATATCTCCCCAACCAAAATCAAATTAGGAATGATATCAAGTTGCTATTAACTAAGGCAGAAGAAAGAATAAAGGAAAAACAGAACAAAGATCAAAAACCAGGAAAGAACTACCATTCCCTAAAAAATGAAGTTTCTCTCCTAAAGATCATTAAAAAGAAGATCAAAGACAATGATTTGATATTAATTAATGCAGACAAAAATGTGGGAATGGTCATACTACAAAAGGAGGATTATATCAAGAAAACCATGGAATTCATTGAGAACAACAAATTTAAAAAACTTAACAAAAACCCTATGGCCTTTTACAATAGACTGAAGACAACAATTAAAGAATGCAGTCATACTTTACAAAAATATCTTCCACACCTTAATAAAATTAATCAGATGAACCCCAGTTACCCAAAATGTATGGACTACCCAAAATACATAAGACCAACAACCCGATAAGACCGATCATTTCAAGCATAAAAACAGGAAGGACTTAATGGAAAAGATCAATCAGACTGAACTTCCAGAAAAATTCTCTATGATATCCTTCGATATCTCAAACTTGTACACCAATGTCC